TTGATGGTATAAAGTTTCTTTTGGGGCCTTCTAAAGATATAGCTTCCCTACTTCTACATGTTCTTGGACCATTTGGAGGACGTTTCTCTTCCCTTGATATCTGTAATAAGAATGAAGGGGAAAATAAAGCACAGATGCTCAATTTTGACAGAACTCTGGGGCTTTTTGAAAAAAGAAATTGGGACCCTCTTTTTCTGGCTCCCCCCACCTACTGTGGAGACCTGTACAGGGGCAGAAATGGAGCATTCTGGAGGTATCTGCATGAGTAGGGAGAGAGGGTGAGATGCAGGGGACTGTAATGTGGCCCAGCCCAAAGAGGCCCTCACTACTGAGATTATTTAGATGTCCTTAAGTACATGCCTGAGACATAAAGATACACATTCCTCACTTCTGTCTAATTATATATAAAAATATAATACAGATCTATGAACTCATTTTAGAGTCTGTATCTTATTTTCCTGTCTAAAATAGGAATCAGTAATGACCATTAGTATGCGATGACCAGTAGGGCAGGTGCGGTAGAATAGGGATAGGATATTCCATAAAATTTCCCAGCATCCTTCATACAGGTCTCCATGGTGGATTGGAAGAGCCAAAAGGGGAACTGTAATGGGAAAAACCAACACTTTGAGGTCACAGGTTAAAGGCAGCTCAGGGGATCCCCCTCCAATCTCTATGCCTCCTTTAAGGTTAGTTTGGGACCACTGGATTGTGCACGAAAATGTGTATTACTGCTAATTCATCCATGTATGTGGGAAGTATTGATTGTGAGCCATCTCGAGATGCCATGCATAAGGGACAGCATATAAAAGTTTTAAATAAATAAATAGGTTTCTAGTTTTGTTTTCTATTTCAGTGTTGGCAATCAGAAAGTATTGCAGTGCATACTTAAACCAAGGAATGGTGTCTTCCTTCCACAAAAAACAAGCAGTTTCAACATCTTGCGCGCGCACGCGAAGATGCTTCTTTGTCCTTTTGTTCCACCTTCCTTGAGAGTGTTTAAGTACAACTTTGTAAAATATGCAATGGAATGGTTTGGATTAAATATCTGCGAATATGGGGAAAGGGTGAAACATTGACTTTGCTGGCATCATTTTTGGTTGCAGTGTTTAACGTGTGTGTGTTTCTCGAGAGAGACAGCGAACAGCTGGGAAGATTAAAATGGAGCAAATTCCAATCTTGCACAGCTTCACTGCCTCCCGTGGAGCTAAGCCAGAAATGTGTTCTGCTCCACCTGTCTATGTTGTCTTCCTTCTTGAATAGGTTTACTGTGACTTATTCTATATCAACCAGAAAACAGCACATTTTTATGCATCCAGAAGCCTCAGGCACTCTGACATTAACCAACTAAAACACTGTACAATGGCCACACAGCTCTTTTATCTAATACTCCGAGCACCTAAATATGCTATAGTAGCATGCTAGTGAATACGCCATTGCTGACCTGCTAACGCTACACATCCAAGGCAACCCCATTTACATGTGCCAGCATCCATAGATTCTGGCAAAGGTAAGTATTCCTTTACATGCCTGCTGCCACATTTCAGCTGAGCTTCAAATCAACCTACCCTTCTGTATTCAAGATTATACATAATTCTGTTGCAGAAACTGGCAAAGGTTGCAAGGTTTATTCTCTGCCAGTTCATTAACACTGATTTCCTGGAAGTAGAACTGAAATTACACCCATAAAATATCTCTTGCCCGTTCCATCACAGCAAACAGGATGCGATGCATAGGAAGGCACCCATAGAACAGAAATGGCAATGAATATGTGGTCCACACATTAGGCTGCCATTATCATGGTCACTGACCATTGGGCAAACTGTCTAGGGTTGATGGGAGCTGCTGGCTATGCAGCTCCCTTCATTGCTATAAATGAACTGGAGAATTATCTCTAATTGCATTGTGTCTGTATATAGCCTTGTTCCGCCATATCAAATATACATCGTTATTTGTTTACATAAACATTTACAGTAACAAAACTGAAAAAAGGTAGAACAGAGAAATCTTATCAGATTAATCAGTATTTTAAAACATTTCTGTGATCAAGAACTGGAATGAGCGAACATTATTTACTATTCACAGCATTTTCATATCTAGACAGTTTCTGGTGCTGGGAACTGTAAAAAGCTAAAAGATGGAAGAATAAATATAAACATTCTTCCCAGAAAAAAGGTGTCTTCAGCAGGTGTGGAAAAGTATTGGTGCATGGCACTGGTGTGTTTTTATCCTAAAATGTTTTAAATTCTTTCATAAAAAGCTGTGTCTATTCTTAGCAGAAGTCAGTGAGAGCGAGAGAGCCATCCTATTCAAACAGTAGACCCAGCCAGGCTAGTGGATGGAGCATGGTAACCCTGTATCTTTTCTCAATTTGTTACAAATATCATCATCCAAAATACATGCACTGAAGAGTTCACATGCTTCATCCAACAATTGCACCTTCTACTGTATATTTGAACCTACACACATAGGTGCATTGTTATTCTCCACAACCATTCTACTGGAAAAAATTAGGACAAATTTTACAAATGGTATCTAGAGACATCGGTGAAATGGTTCCAATGCAAATTAAAGGTTTTATCTGTAGTTTCAGAGGGTGCACACACTCACTCTTACTCTCAAACAGACACACATTGTACTTGCTGACACCTTCCTTGTGTGAACTAGCTCAAATTTAAGCTCACACTCTTTAGGTCTGAAAAGCCAATTGCTCAATAAAAAGTTCATTGGTTAATCATCTTTATGGAACCAAATGAGGAGGGACTTCTCACCTCCCAAACATACTATATCCTTTCACAGAAAATAAAATATTTTTAGAGATCAATTTTGTTGTGTGGTTTCCCAGTAGCAAGCTTTATTATTTTCACTGTTATGATTATGCCAAGTGTGTACATGACCCTTCTACAATAACTTCTGTCAAGAAAGTTTTGGTTCTGTGTGTGTGTGTGTGTGTGTGTGTGTGTGTGTGTTGGAAATGCCTATTTGTTGGTTACACTGTGATTGCTTCATTAATGCTGAGCAAGCGATGATCCTTCTGCTGTCTGTCCTAGCAGGTATGCAACACATCTGCATCTTCCCCTTTCCCCCACAGCTGAGCTCACTTCCTTCCTGTCTGGCTTTCGACTGGAGAGCAGGGTCAAGATTTCAACAAAGCAATTAGAGGAAAAGCCATTTTTTAAAAATAATTGCAGCTGCTTTGACCTTAACAGCCCAACTGAACATGCTACAGTTAAGTTTCCCAACCTAGGAAACTTCCCTACAACTTGCATTTGTGCTGCACATTTAGCCTGTACAGCTGGAACCAGGTGCAAGCTGCAATGCCCAAGGGAGGTCATCTTCCTTAAACATTTAACTGTTTGATGAGGAAAGGAGAATTGATTCCTCCTGCTGCAAGTGCTAATTCTCAACCCTGCCACAGCATACAAGGGGCTTCAGTTCTGCTTCTTCGTGGGCAAAAATGGTATGTAAATAGACCAGCACAAAGTCTCCTTTTCCTGAAGTTATAGCAATAAGCACTAGCACTAGGTTACAACTGGTAAATCTGGAACTTCTTGTGTCTTGCAAATGTACCTAAGAAACTGCTGCAGATTTCACTCTACAAGCATTTGCACTGTAGGAGAAATAACCCTTCTTTAGGCCAATAGTCCAAGTTTTGTAAACTCCAATTTTGCTCTAGCATATTTCAACTGGATCACTGAAAATTATAAATCTATACCTATTGCACAAGTACCAGATACATGGCAGGACCATCTCTCATTTATATCCATGCTGTTTAAATTCCTAGCAACTTCCAAGTGTCAGAATTTCTTCCTCCTCATTAAAAGAGATAACAGTATTATGCAATAGGTTAGGAATTGGTACTGAATAGGGTCCTTTGACAGGATGAAAAGCCTAGTTGTATGGATGAGCTCAATCTAAGTCTTGTACAACAAATTTTTAGTGGCTACCAGTGATGCTTGGTATTTATGGCTAGGCTATCCACAGTCAGAACATTCCATTACTCTGTAAGTTCTTCTTTTATAAATGTCAATACTAAGTTTCCTTCAAAAGGCAGAAGGTATTTTTATTACAAATCAAATCATAACACAATGGCCCAGATGAAATGTTGTACTGTAAACCACTTAGAGTATTAAGTGGCGTACAAGTTTAATAATAAATAATGAGCAAAGCTGAGATACAAATAAGCATTTTGCTTACAAACCTCTTTTTTCTCCCTTCATGGCATAAATAAACCAGGATGCTTCTAATGAATCCTAGTTTCCCATTTTATCTGAACCAGAAAACTATGGTTACTAACTTCAGAAAAAGCCAGGCTATTTAACCATTTTTTGAAATTGGTTGAAAGTCGTGTTTTTTTTATCTCCAAAGCTGGTAACCATAGTTCTTCATCGTGGTCTCTGTGCATCACACACACACACACGGGCTTAAGTGTCAACAGAAGGCATAGGTCAGAAGAAACTTCTATAGCTCAGCATCAGGGAGTGGGTTGGACTGCCCATCCCCTCTGGAGTCCTGCTATAAGCATTTTGATTTTGCTGTTTCTTCAGGAAGATTATGAAGAAACTTATTGGAACTAAGAAAGCTGCTACTCTGCTGAAAGCTTCTTTTGAATACTTTAATTAAAAACCTGTGTTAGGTCAGAATTTCATGGAACTTTTCTTCAGCAACTTTAATCTTGCAGTTGTACATTGTCACAAAAAATAGTCAAATCTCAGTTTCAACAATAAAAGTTCCAATACTCCCTGCCCCCTGCCACGTTCATTCCAGTTTTTTAAAAAGTCAACAATATTTCCCTTTGTACATTACATCTAGGTCAGATAAGTAATAAATGTCAGCCACCCTTTTAAAGGGTAATCAACATTTCTATAATTGAATAATGGGGTCCATTATTTAAGGACAATCATCATATGCACCAACTGCCATTTGAAGCCAGTAGTCCAGGCTTCTAAAAATTACAATGTTGTATAAATTCTCTCCCCCCTTTAGGAAGCCATGCTCACGCTCTCTCCAGGAAACAGGGCTGTCAGCAAAGCCATGCACAATCAGTGAAACCCAGGGAGCCAACTTTGGTTCTTCAAAGCAGCAACTGTTGACAGAGACAGAGAAGCATCATCACTGACACTGCACGAAAGACATTATTGCACAGTTATCTAAAAAATAAAAACAGCCTGATTCTGTACACACTGGCTGAGACAGAAACATTATTGATAAACATAAGCATGTCTGATTACAGCCAAAAATATGGACTGGAAACCAAATAGAGATGGGCACACTTAGATTCCTACTGAAGTCAATAGGAAAAATTAATCATGCTGAAGTTCCATTGATTTCGATGAAAACTACAGTCTTATATGCAAGTGTTGATGAGACAACATATTGTACTTAATTCTCAATAAAACTTGGGAAAGTGTTCCAAACCCTGCAAAAGTACCTTCAACTAAGTTTTGGACTAGGATGAGGGAGACTCAGGGTTAAAACCCTCCTCAGCTAGGAAACGCAGAATGCAATATGAGGTCAGTGGTTAAGAGTGCAGATTGGGATTCAGGAGATTTGGGTTCTAGTCCCCACTCACTAGGGGACTTTGGGCTTGTCACAGAATCTCAGCTCGTCCTACATCACAGGGTTGTTTTTGTGAGAATAAGATTGAGAGGAAGGATTATATAAGCCACCTTAAGTTCCTTGAAAAAAAAGCAAGATAATCAATGAATAACTTTACAAGGTTACTGTGAGGCTAAAGTGGGGAGAATGAAAGTACTGGAAATGAAGACTTGAGACCATTGGAGAACACACAAGATTTAAATGTAATAAACTATTTGCATAAACATGCATGTAGTACAATCCTTTGCATATGTACTCAAACAAATTCCACCATGTTCAGTGCAGCATGCTTAAAAGTGTGTTTAGGAGTGCAGCTTTCATCTGAACTGCTATTAAATGCTAACTGGGTCAAGACTGTACTACTAACTGCTTACCTTATTTGTTCCAATAAATGATTTATCTTCTGTGGAAGTATAAAACCAGTTATTGTACATAACAGAGCTTGTTCTACCACTGTGCTTGGCTGAGGGCATGTATAGGTTGATAAGAAACTAGACGATGTGTTTTCTCTGCAAACCAAAAATAAGCCAGGTAAGAAATGATGCAAAATCTTAGCATTGTTAGGTAGCAATCCCATGGCCCTAGACATAGGCCCCCCACCCCTGTGCAGGGCACATGTAAAGAAGCATGACAGTTGCCTCTCTGAGGTTAAGAACACAATCTCAGATGATGGCAAAAGAGAGCATTTCAACGGGTGAGAAGAAGGCTGAGGAGGCCAGAATACAAGCTTTCTTGAGCCTCAGTCAGCCTCCTTTCCTCACCCTCTGAAATGTCTTTGCTAGATGGGGAAAGAACCCATCTACCAACAAGACAGGGCAGGAGGATGGGCAGGTAAGCATCACCTCTCCCACTCCTCCTGCCCTAGGTAAGGTGCTCATAAGCCTCCAAAAACTTGCAAGTACTGTGGGTGCAACCCCTAGGATCACACTTATTGCTTTACAAGTAATTACAGAGAGAACCCCTATCAATGAACCCTTAAGCATTTCTTTCTCACACCTGGCATAATCACCTGAAATCCATTCCTATAACAGTGCTCTGTGCCATGGGAGAGCTCTACAACACAGACATTTGGTTGAAAAATTCAATGTTTAACATGTTTTCGTTTCCTTATGGCAATATAAAATCCAATAACTTTCCCCCTTTCTGCTACGGTTGCATTAATTTGGATAACATGATTCAAGATGCCAAGTTATTTACTGTATTTATTATGCATTACTGGATTTGCATTACTGTTGCTTTTAAAGTTTCTTTGGAAGAAGAGTACAGCATTTTATTTATGTATACACACATGTTGAACAAAAGATACTTACAAGCCAACATTAGAAGAAATGGCACCCAGCCATTCAAAGAATTCCTGAGCAGTGCATGCTGCTCCTGGCTCTCCTTGAAGTTTTGTATGCTCCAGAACTGGACACTGTACATGCTTTAATGTGCTGAATGTTATTTTTGGATGATGGGACTGAACTTCATTCTTTGAAAAGTATGACATCAAACTGGATTCTTCTGATCCTTAAAAGCAAGCATCATCTCATCACAGAAATATATACATTTTTTAAGGACCATCACAGAAATAAGTATTTTGCTTCAAACTCTTCCAATTTTTAATGATTCTAAAATGATGACTTGTGAAAAGCTGCACTGAAATGGAATCTTGCAAAATGTTTATCCATGCCATGCCAAAAGCCCATGACTTCCAACATCCTCCTCCCCACCACCAATCCTCAATTTGCTGCTTTCCTTTTAGGAAACAAAGTATACTTTCAGATCCAGTTAACACTAGCAAGTGACCTCACTGATCCACTTTGCCAGAATATATGTAATTAGCGTTATTAGAGTCAGAAAAACAAAAAATGAAAGTTAAGTTTGACTTTAGATAATATCAGTAAAGTTTTTACTGAATGCTTGTGATGGAAAGGAAAATGGAAAGGATGGAAAGGAAAATAAAAGAATTCTACTGGAAAAAATACTTCCACTAAAGTGCTTTACAGTTAAATTACTACAAATTAGTAAGTGTGTAACTGTACTCATCTCATCCACTCTTCCTTTAGCTGAACAATCCTATAGCCAGTGGACAACAGCTAGAGCACCCCGGAATGTTTCAAATTCCTCATTATGAGCTTGAAAAATCATTCCAATCTTGTAGTGGGAGATCCACACTTAGATTCCTCTCCCTTCACATTGTAACAGGTGTGGAAGGAAATATTCCAGCTGCTTCATCAAGGTTTTATGAATGACCTAAGAGAAGGGTTTTGGGGAATGTTCTGGGAGGGTGGGTAGAGGAGAAGACTTGCACTGCCAAGATACAACGTATTTTGACACTGCCTCAACCTCCTTCCTGCCTGGCCCCAAGAGTTGCATTTAGATGGCTCAAGCTGACTGTTTTGTAGAGCAAAACAAGTTCTCCCAACCTGCATAAGATATTCATAATTAAGAATGTGGGAGGAATCTGTTTGGGGGTGGGAATCCTGGGCTTGGCTCCCCAGACTCTGGTCTACTCTACAGCAACCCTGAGCCTGAGTTCCTGGGTGAGTGCTCCTGGATTTTGTGGTGCATTTGCCAGGAATTGGGCCTCACGTGCTGCAAAAGCAGTGCCTCCTTCTGTACCTGGTGCTGCTGCAGGTGACTGCATGAGGAACAGAAGGTCAGTCACTGGGAATGGCACCTGGCACAACTGCAGGCCCTCTCTGCAGCATGCTGCAGCCACTTTTAGGGTGGCTGCATCTGATGGAGAATGCTGTCGGTAGCACAAGGGCGGGGGGGGGGGGGTGTCTGCAAGCATTTGTAGACTTCCTCTTGCCTTGGCTTGCTTTGTAGAATCAGACCAATCACAAGAGGAAGTCTGCAGATGCTAGAGGGGCAGATTCAGAAAGGGTTCATCCTAACCCTCTGGGTTTTGAAGGTTATGGACCTGCCCATAGGATTTCAGTGTAAGGCTTACAAGAGTAGCAAATGCACATTTGGAAAGACAAAAGAACTGTTACAATATTTAATCATCATCATCTTGTGCATTCTGAGAAAAAATATGTATTTATTCTATTGGATGCTCAAAACCCAAACACTGGTTTTGACTTGCCAATTGTATATATCACCATCTGCTACAAGTTTAGTTCTGCTTCTGACTTTTTTACTTTTTTTTTAATGGACGCAGAGTTGCACCATACACAGTCATAGGAAGGATTGCTTCCTATCATTTACTACACCTATTTCCAAAGATGGTGCCCATTTCCCAGACTGAGTTCTGTAGTCTGGCCAAACAAGCATCTCTGCTGACAAACACATTCCTATATTGTGCTTCCACGCACCTTCAATATGCAGACACCTAAAGCCACACATGAAAAACGCAACACCAGAAGCAGTCTTTAGAATACAGCAATATATAATTTTGTGTCTTCTGCAATTTCCTTTTACAGTTAACCCATAATTACCTGTGTGATGCCAAGCAAGTAAGAAATCAAACTTTAGTGGGTTTTTCTCTTTCAAGGCCCAGATCACTCTGTTATGTTTCTTACTGTTGGGAATGAAGGTTGAATCAGTCAAATCCACAGTCACAACTATTAAAGAAGGGAAATGATAAAATGTGATGTAAGCATAATATCAATATATCTTATGCTACCTGGATAATTAAACTAGGATCTCTTTCTTTAAAACACAGTATTAAACATTGTTAAGTACTGTGATAAACATATGTTTACACCAATGTATCGGAAATCTTTATTATTTACAATACTAACAGATTGCTTTTCAGCATAAAAGGAAATCTACACCCTGATTTAAAATACAAACAATGCACCCAGTCAATGACAATATAACTACTGTACATATTTAAAATTATATTAGCCAAAAACAAGGAGAATTACTATTAATCTCCAGATAAGGATACAGTCAGCTGATTATCAACAAGAGACTAAAGAAGACCACAGACTTCTCAAGGGAAGAGAACACCCAAGCCCCCAAACAAAGCACCCTGCTTCTCTTATTATACATTTCATATTTATACCTTCCAACAGCCCAAAGCCCTCTGGTAGGTTTACATCAATTCACAAAATGTATACTGCAGATATAGGATATTAAAACACAACATAGTTTTAACATACAAAACATTAAACATTTTGAACAGCTAAAACAACTTTAGCAAGGTACCAGTAGCACAATCCTATGACTGCTGGACAGTGTCTAGATGGCCATACGATATTCCAGAGCTGGACCCTGAATTTGGAGTGCCTCTCCCCCTACACACTTGTGGCTGGTGCAAAAAGAATTTGAGGTCACAAACGTGACTTTGGAGAAGGCGTTTTATGGGCAGGGAAGAGAGTGGTGAGGCATTGCCACAGTTCAAGGTATCTTAGCAGTGCCTCAGTCTCCTTCCCTCCTCTTCTGAAATGCTGCACTCAGTCAAAGTCAGCTCTCTACATGCTCTTTAGGATGGGAGAAGTGCAAAAGTGAGCTTCATCTTTGAGCTCCTTCTGCTTTGAATAGGATGTCCATAATTGTGTGAGTTCAGAGGGCTACAGGTGCCTGGAATGGACTGTGCCCTGCACCTGGACAGGCAGCTGACACAGCAAGTCATAATACCACTCTGAAGGACAGAATCAGGAAAGCCTCCAGTAGTCTGTCTTAAGGCTCTCAGAAGTTCACAGAAAAGCAAAAGCAATACTTGGGACCCAGCTTGTACATAATATTAAAGAACATAGCCAGCATCAGGAAATGAGCCCAGCATCAAACCAGCAGGCAAGAGCAATCCCATATCGGGAATTGTTCCATACAGCATGCAGGTGTACCTCCTAGCCTGCATCAAATGACACATCTAGCAAGTTCAGCAAGGCTTGGATGTGCATCATGACATGAGTGATACTGCACATTCAAGTATGCATCTGTAATAGCAGCTGCTTCTATGAATGGACTCTTCAGTGGATCAGGGCACCATTATCATTTATCCGATGCTTTCATATTTATTTCAAGAGGAACCTAACTCAAATTCTAAATCACAAAAGCTCCAGATTGAGCATCCTTAAAAAAACCAAAACAACCCGCCCCCCCTGCCCAAATTGGGTGCTACTTAAGGAAAGGGACATATGCCATTCATGTGGATACCTACTGTATCGCATTGGCTTTTTACCAGAATACAGAGAAGGGCGGCCTTGCAGTCCAAGCTCTTCATAGGTGTCCTTGTCTAATGATAGAATTAATTTGCCTAGAACAAAAAAGATTTTAAATAACCATAGGTTTGGACTTATGAAAGTCTATTGTAATGAAACAATATAGCCACAAAAATAATAATTAAAAGTTAGAGAAGGTCTGCAAATAATTAGTATTCAAAACATACAAAGAATTGGCCACATAGGTTCAAACAAGTTATAAATTATCTAGATCAGTCAGAAAGAAGTTGTGGGGAATCCATTAACAGCTACTGAACACAAATTAGGACTGGATTCTAGTATCCTAGTCCTAAACAAATACAGCTTAAAACTCAGTTTGATTTTCATGCAACTGACTTCACAATTTCAGGAAGAACTGATAATTTCACTCACTTAAAAATGAATGCAGTAAAATGTGTGTGTGTGTGTGTTTGTGTGTCACTGCAAATTCATGATCTCATATTCAGAATGTATTAATTCCTGAACAAACAGTGTTTAAAGACAAGATAACATCTCAGGTAACTGAATAATTTGTTGTTTTTCTGGGACAAATACCAATTGCCCAAATGAACAACTCTATAAGAAAGAGTGGTGTATTATTTCCCCCTCCTATTTAAGGTATAGTACAGCCCCAGGAGACGGTCTCAATTTTTAAAACCTAGGGAAGACAGTTTAGAAATCTGTCCCCCCCCCCCCGCCCAGCTCTTTGCAGCTGACAAAGGAACATTCATGCATTGTATATGCATTCTCTGGTCTGGTTCATGCCCTTGACTGGATGATCATCTTTACGTGCAGGAGAAAAACGGCCTGAGGACTACACACATCCCATATGCTTGTAGTCCCGAATCTTTCAATCCTTCCTTCTCAAAAAGGGAAGGTAAAAGACACCCTGCACTAAATGAGCACATATTATGCATGCTCTGTCCCAAGCACATGTTATCTTACCTGTGTGTTGAGGACGGGTAAACGTGCATGCTTCATTCCTTATTATGCAAACACACTCCTCCCTCTTCCCCTCTCCCCCCCCCCCCCCCTCTCCCCCCCCCCCCCCCCTTCTGCCCTACTTTTACGAAGCCCAAACTAGTCCCACTAAATTCAGTGACTGGTACTCTAAACATTTGTATTATGTGAAAAATCAGTATGTCCTGCACATGATTTTGTACCTGTTGGTAGCAGGGCAGCAGTATTGTCCTGGTCAATCCTTGTATTATATGTAAGAGCATAACATGAACCTAAAACACACAAATTACAGAGTTCAGAATTTTGTTTTAAAGAACAGTACAAAAGATATAATTCAAATAAAGCAACTATTTATTTGTTGTTGCTGAGATTTATCTCTCCCTCTACGCTCACTTTTGCAGAAAATCGATGAAGTAATGCCACTGCTACATCTAGAATAACATAAGTTGGCAACTCAGATCATAGGATTTCAACATTTCTTTCAGGCAGGTCAATGAATCAATGTAATTCAAACCCACAGAACTTTAATATTGTATAACAAGTTAGGCATCAGCTATGCAGAAAGAGATACAATTGCTTGAATTCTATATATTACTTTGCTTGAAATGGTTTAAACAATATATTTGACTTATCAAATCAGTAATCTGGTTCAGATTCAGGCACACCTACACCTACTCATTTTCTCTGCACATAAATCTGCATTATCACGAAACAGTGTTTTGCTTTTGAAAATGTAAATGCGCGCGCGCACACACACACACACACACACACACACACACACACACACACACACACACTCTCCGTGACAAGTTACAAACCATAAAAGTTAGGGGTGGGAAGAGGGGAGATATGAAGCCTTGGAAGTTTTCATAAAGGATAAAAGGGCCCCCAAATGTGTTCTGCAATGATTTTCAGCCAGGCTGCATACTGCACGCTTTCAGCTTCAGTGAATATTTACTTAGATTTATACCCCACCTTCTTTCTTACAAAGAACTCAAAGTGGCTTACATCATTCATATCCTCATGCTCTCAATCCTACCCCAACAACAACAACCCACGAAGTAGGTTGGGGTGAGAGTTTGTGAATAAGTCACCTAGTTGGCTCTATGGTTGAGCAGGGACTAGAACCCAGATTGCCCAGATCCCAGTCCTGTGCTTTTAATTACTACACCACAATGAATATAAATAAGCCCAAAGAAAAATCAATAATTTAAATTTTCAAGAAATGGGAAAGGGCCATCTTCCCTGTATTCAAGCCAAGCGACCAACCAACCCACCCACCCACCCACCCACTTCTTCAAGTAGCATCAGTGTATATCTGAGCTTTGGTGCATTCATATCACCTGTCTAGTATTGTCAACTTTCACATGTGAAATGCTGACAACTACCAAATAATATCAAATGCAAGAAAGCAAAAAATAAACAGTAAGATGGAGAATGACCAATTTCTACAATATACGACCCCACTTTCCTTCCAAAAATCTTCACAAACAAAATAACTAAAAATGCATTTTCTTTAAGGAGGGCTATCAATGGATGCCACTCAGGATAGCTCTATATTACTTCCAGCATGAGAAGTAGCATGCCTCTGGGTGCTAGCTGCTGTGGGATGTGAGCATCGCTGCTCTCAGGTCATCTTGCAGGTATGCCACAGCGAGCTGCCTGGCTGCTGCCTGAACAGAATGCTGGACTTGATAAGGCTTTAGTCTCACCCAGCATGACTCTTGTTAGCTGGTAGAGAACTATTTCCCTCATGCTCACTTACCCATTTCAACTCTCCCTTACCTTTGTTCACAAATGTATTAATAAATTCCTGTGTAACAAACTCATGAAGGGATAAATTCTTCACCAGGTAAAATTCTCCAATATTTTCAACTGCATTTTTTAGCCCATCTGGAACTATTCCACATTCAGGTATCAAAAAGGACACCTATTCAAGAAACATTTGGGAAACTAATTGTATCTTGTTCAGCAATTACAAAAAAACAGAAAATAACATTTTACACAACATCTTCAAGAATATTGGAATGAATCAATGGTGTTTTACATGAAATAAAATCCCAAATAGCAAGGTGGTACATTAGTCTACAGTAATATTAGTCTAAATATTACCCATCTATTTGCACCCAATATTGTAATTATATATCATTTTAAAAATGTGTACCCCATCTTTCTACCAAAAACGGCATTCAAGGTGACTTACATAATCAGTATTAAAACAATAAAACATAAATTAAAATACAACAAAAATGTAAATACTGTAGGATTTTTAAAAAATAGAATCCAAAATAGTATCCATCATAACAGGCCAAAGGCCTTCTTAAAGAAGACACCAGAGAGGTACTGAATCTAGTCTCCCTTAGAAGGTCTGTCTGGGAGCAGTGACTGAAAAGGTCCTCTCTTAAATTACCACCAAAAACACCTCTGAAGATGGCAGTCTGAAAAAAGGTCCTCTGCAGGGGTTCTCAAAAGTCAGGAGGACTTGCAAGGGATGAAAATGCACATGGATCGCATATGCATCTTACTCTTTCTCCAAAATTCAAGGTAGCAAGGATTTATTCCATGTCATCCTCATAGAAATTCTGGGTAGCAGGCATGCCAACAGTGATGATGACTATCCCATGGATTTTACTGGTGAACAGAGAATAGAACCCCACTGATTATACTTATTTTGAAGACTGATACACTGCCTCCAAGCCTTACAACACAGTAAAATAATACAGCACCCTATTTAGTCCTCAGGCTAAGAGTTGGAGCCAATGTTTCTTTCTCTCACTTTTGTAGTCCCAGGACAAGCAGCAGCTGAACCAGAACATTATTTCTGGCAGGAAAACAAGATGAAAACTCCTGGTAGCAAGCCTTTTCCTTGATCATTGCCTGAAGATGTTCTTTTTGGTAGGGAGGGAGGGAGTCTTCTAGCCACTGACAGTGGCCAGTGAGTGCACTCACACTAATATAACGTAGTGACTTGTTATACTTAAACTAGGGATGTATAAGGAATCTATATTTTAATTTTCACTTTGATTCCATCAGGTGTCTAAAATACATCAAAACAAAAACTAACATGTGGACACATTTTTTCTATGAAAAACAACATCAACATGGCATCAGGACAAACCAGACTTGAAGATGGTGAAAAAGAAGAAATCTGCAGAATTGGATTAGAGAAATCTGCCCCTTCCTACCACAAACTACAACTGTAAAGATCCAGCTAATGCATTTGAAATTGTTGCTAGTTGAGAAGTCGCATCCGATCCATCGTGACCCCATGGGCAACATTCCTCCAGGCCTTCCTGTCCTCCACCATCCCCCAGAGTCCACTTAAGCTCACACCAACTGCTTCAATGAGTCCATCTATCCACCTCATCCTCTGCCGTCCCCTTCTTTTTTTGCCATCTATTGTTCCCAGCATTAGGTTCTTCTCCAGGGAGACCTTCCTTCTCATTAGGTGGCCAAAGTATTTGAGTTTCATCTTCAGGATCTGGCCTTCTGAAGAGCAGTCAGGGTTGATCTCCTCTAGGACTGACCAGTTTAATCGCCTGTGGTTCAAGGGACTCGCATGAGTCTCCTCCAGCACCACAATTCAAAGACCTCAATCCTTCGGCGCTCAGCCTTCCTTATGGTCCAGCTTTCACAGCCATACGTGGCAACTGGGAAAACCATAGCCTTGACTATATGTACTTTTGTTGGCAGGGTGATGTCTCTGCTTTTTAGTATGCTGTCTAGATTTGCCATAGCTTTCCTCCCCAGGAGCAAGCATCTTGTAATTTCTTGGCTGCAGTCATTGTCTGCGGTGATCTTGGAGCCCAAGAAAAGAAAATCTGTCACTACCTCCATTTCTTCCCCATCTATTTGTCAGGAAGTTCATAGGACTGGATGCCATGATCTTAGTTTTCTTGATGTTGAGTTTCAAGTCAACATTTCTGCTCTCTTTCACCCACATCAAGAGGCTCTTTAGTGCAAATGAAATGGTGATAGTCAAAACCCACCCACTCATTCATCTATATTGGGGGAAAAAGTTCAAAAGAATTTGCAGTGGTCTCTCCCTTTCCAGGTATGGAAGTGTGTGTGTGTGTGTGTGTGTGGGGGGGGTCTATTATAAAGAAATGTGATCTCAAAAAGTTAATTTTAAGAAAGTGTAGTGACTGTACAGGCAGCAGCAGTATTCCAGAATATCTAGCAGATCAAAAGAAGTTATTAAATTGTGACATTTTAATTGTGGGGTTTTATTCCCCTCTGGAAAAGCACACAAGAACAAGTCTGCTGCTTTACATGCAACATGGACATAACAACACCATATATGATGTGCCCACATGGACCACTAGCACTTCCCTCCACTGTCCCATAAACATTTTATGTCATGTTTCATCATCAAATCATTCTGGGAGGGAATATTTAGAATATTTTCTATAACAAAATAATGGCCTACAAACTGGAAATGTTCAGTATACGTTCCAATCCTTAAGAAAGGAGATGCTAAGGAGTGCCGCATCTATGGGGCCACTGCATAATTTACCATCCAAGCAAAGTGATGCTCAAGGTATTTCAACAAAGAATATTACCACATATGGAGCAAGATGTGTCTGACATTTGAGGTGCATTCTTAAAAGGAGGCACTCAAGACTATATTCCGAATATATAATGGCTACTGGAGTCCACCAAAGAACTTCAGAAGATTAACAATTTATGTTTTATAGACTGCAGCAAAGTTTTTGACTAAGTGGATCATGGCAAGCAAGGACCAGTTCTGAAAGAAATGTGCATGCCTCTGTACTTGATCATCTTGTATCATGGACAAGAAGCTGCTGTAAGGGCAAAATCTGGAGAAAGAGAATGGTTTCTTTTAGGCAATGGTGTCAGACAAGGGTGTATCTTATCTCCCTATCTGCCTGATCTGTACACAGGACATAACATATGGAAACCTGGATTAAGATCAGGATCAGAGGAAGGAGGAGTGAAAACTGGATGAAGATACATCATAATGTAAGGTGTGAAGATGATACCATATTGCAGGCAGAATGCAAAAATGAATGGAAATAACTCCTGATGAAAGGGAATGAAGTAAGTGCAAAACCAGGTCTGTAGCTTAACACTGAGAAGAAAAAAATCACAACTACCAAAGAATTACACAATGTTTATATCAAGGATGGAGAAACTGAAATTCTGAAAGACTGCATATACCTCAATCATCAATTCAAATGGGGACTGCAACCCAGAATTAAAAGAAGACTGAGTTATGGAAACATAGCAATGAAAGAACTAGAAAAGATCATCAAGTGTAAGGACATTTCACTGGAGACCAAGGCCAAGATAATTCACACTGTGTCAGCCACCTTGAATTTCCTGCAAGGGGAAAAAAGGCAGAATATAAATGCAATGTTCTTCTGAGAACTATGCATGGGTGTGAAAGCTGAACAGTGAACAAAGCTGTCAGGAAGAAAACTTCTGTTTGAAAAATAGTGCTGCAGAAGAAGTTTTGTGAATACCTTCAACTGACAGAAAGATGAACAAGTGGGCCTTACCCGTAGGTCAATTCAAGTCAGAACTTGACCTGGAAGCAAAAAGTGAGGCTGTTGTAGTTCAAGCACATCATGTGAAGGCAAGACTCCTTAAAGAACACAACCATATTAGGGAAAGTTGGAGGCAGAAGAGGAGGAAGGCCAACTATGATATATACTGAATGTATAACTTGATGGCATGTAACACAACATAGCACTCAGCAGAATTTTAGTCACTAAATCCACCAACAAATTTTAAAAAACCCCAATTGTTACAGTATGCTTGACAGGAGTGAGCTAAGCCACAACTAAAACCAAGCCAGATGTGATCTGAAAAGTCCATCTGTTTAAATGTGGCTCAGCCCCAGTCATGTATAAAGTAGTGTTGTATGCCTGATTTCTAGAAAAGAAAGGCACAAGTCCAGGCAATGAAGCCTTGTAGCAGTGACATTTAGTGACCCTCCATTTTTCTTTAATGATTCAGTTGGTTGAACCCACGATCTGGACAGTTATTGAATAATGTCACAAGTGGTTACTTTTGATTCCTTTTGTTTGTAGAGCTTTCATAAGCAACTTGCAGCAAAATACCAGCAGTGCATACTAAGACAACAAGATTTCTGATTAAACCTGTCATGCCAGCACATGCCTGTTGGTGTTGCACTAGACATTGCTGATGTGCTTTGTCAAGATGTAAGTGAAGCACCGGTGTTGGATTGGTTTCAATAGGGCACTCAATGGATCGTGTGCTTTAAAAGCTGTTGCAAACTCCTCATAGGAGTCAGAAAGATTTAATATCAAAATAAAGTTAAGCAAGCTGTTACTTGGAGACAAAAGCAACACAAAGTTTGGGGGAACCTTAAAAACTAATCGATTTGGCCATTCGGGCTGCAGTCCTATAAACCCTCATAAACCCCTGTAATTTCTTCTGCACAGACACATAGAGGGCTGCAGATGCACAGGGCAGCACAAATGTTGATGGGCTAAGAGCATCGCATCGAGTGAAAGGTTATCTTCAGTTGACAATGGTGAGTCTGCGAATGTGAGAGAATAATGCGAGGAAAAATGACCATGGAAAATAGCGAGGAAATTATACAAGGCCAAAAGGTCGGCCACGATGAGCCGTAGGGCCGTTCACATCAGCGGTGACTATCCCGAATGAAGCAGTGACGGGAGATATTTTAACATCCATCCCTTCTTCCTTCCTGCCGCCGCTGCCCAAGCCACGCTTCTATTTGGAAGCGAGGGGTGCGCTCCCCTCCCTCGCGCTCACCTGGCAGTTGAAGGCGTGGTCCTGCACGTGCGCCGCGTGGCGGGACCGCTCGTGCCGCATGTGGCTCCTCTCGCAGACCAGCAGGTGACGGGGCGACTCGCGGAGCCACCGCAGAGGAACGAACATGCTCGCGCCGGGAAGAGCGCGCGACGCCGGCCGCGGAAGCGGGAAGGGGCCGCTGAGGGCGGGGCTCTGGTACGTCACTCGCTCGTCAGGAAGCGAGGCATAGCGAAAGCGAGAGCACGGCTGGCGGCGGGGAGCGCAGAAAGGTTTGTGCGCATGTGTGGCGGCTGGGAAGCGTTGCTTGGGTGCAGTCTCTTCGATGGTGTGGGAACTGTGCGGTTCTGCACTCCGATAGGGGGAAAAAAAAAAGTTCTGCAACTTGCAGCATGGCCTAGCCAGCAGGACTTGTAGCAGAAGCTTTTATAGAGGATGCTTCCAATAGGAAAATGGAGACAGTATGTTAAGCAAGTCGCAGGCTTTCTGGAAGTCATAGGACTCTCCTGTGCCCCAGTCTGAGTGTGTTAAGTGATGGATGAGACAAGGAGGTGCAAGACTTGGGAGGAAAAATAAGAAATAATGTAATAAGATAGAATAAAAAAAAGGACAGAACAGAAACTTCACTGGATCTCTGGCTTACTTAGATGAAATCCTTACAAAAACAAACAAACAAAAATGTTCTGGACTCTCTGGAGACATTTCAGTAGTTATGGCATTTCATAGGGTTCTGGGCAAATAGTGCAAAACAAAGGTATTACCGATTTATTTTTTTATTTAAAACTTATAAATAAAAAAGCTACTGAGGTCTTGGGACGGTCTTAAAATAAAACAGTGGAACACAGCATCCGAGTTGATTTTCTTTACACCCCCCCATATACACGTAAAGTAAAATATAAATTATATTAGTAAATTATGTAGGACTTACATTGCCACTTCATCCTTAGTGTGGTAACATCTGCTCTTTGGTGCAGTTTAAATGCTTGAGCTCAGAAGTGAAGAAAATGTGTGTGTGTGCATATATGCCTATGCACTCATTTAGCATCTATCTCTCCAGACAGTTTGTTTCGCACAGATGGAAATGCCAATTCCTACTGTGGGTGACTGCTTGGAGATTCAGGCAAGTGGAGCTTCTTCATATGACTAACTGTTAATGTTTGTATTTATTGTGTACCTGTTATTCCCTACTCCAGTCTTTCAGGGGTTCTTTAGAAGACGTGGGGACTCTGGTTTTGTTTCTGTGCCTAACCAGCACTTTCAATGAGCTTTTTAGAACGGGAAATGCAGAACTGTGAAAGTGAAAGAAAGGAAAGTTTCTCTATATGTTGTTGTTAGTCGCGAAGTCGTGTCCGACCCATCACGACCCCTTGGACAACACTCCTCCAGGCCTTCCTGTCCTCCACCATCCCCCAGAGTCCACTTAAGCTCACATCAACTGCTTCAGTGACTCCATCTAGCCACCTCATCCTCTGCCATCCCCTTCTTCTTTTGCCATCAATTGTTCCCAGCATTAGGCTCTTCTCCAGGGAGTCCTTCCTCCTCATTAGGTGGCCAAAGTATTTGAGTTTCATCTTCAGGATCTGGCCTTCTAAAGAGCAGTCAGGGTTGATCTCCTCTAGGACTGACCGGTTTAATCGCCTGTGGTTCAAGGGACTCACATGAGTCTCCTCCAGCACCACAATTCAAAGGCCTAAATCCTTTGGTGCTCAGCCTTCCTTATGATCCAGCTTTCACAGCCGTACATTGCAACTGGGAAAACCATAGCCTTGACTAGACGCACTTTTGTTGGCAGGGTGATGTATATGCTTTTTAGTATGCTGTCTAGATTTGCCATAGCTTTCCTCCCCAGGAGCAAGTGTCTTGTAATTTCTTGGCTGCAGTCCCCATCTGCGGTGATCTTGGAGCCCAGGAAAATAAAATCTGTCACTACCTCCATTTCTTCCCCATCTATTTGCCAGGAAGTGAGAGGACCGGATGCCATGATCTTAGTTTTCTTAATGTTGAGTTTCAAGCCAACTTTTGCACTCTCCTCCTTCACCCGCATCAAGAGGCTCTTTAGTTCCTCTTCACTTTCTGCCATGAGAGTGGTATCATCTGCATATCTGAGCAATATCTGCATATTGATATTTCTCCCAGCAATCTTAATTCCAACTGGTGATTCATCTAGCCCCGCCTTTCTCATGATGTGCTCTGCATATAAGTTAAATAGGCAGGGCGACAGTATACAGCCTTGCCGAACTCCTTTCTCAATTTTGAACCAATGAGTGCTTCTGTGTCCAGTTCTCACTGTTGCTTTTTGATCCGCATGTAGGTTTCTCAAGAGACAAATAAGATGGTCTGGTACTCTCATCTCTTTAAGAACTTGCCACAGTTTGTTGTGATCCACACAATCAAAGGCTTTAGCATAGTCAATGAAGCAGAAGTAGATGTTTTTCTGGAACTCCCTAGCTTTCTCCATGATCCAGTGTATGTTGGCAATTTGATCTCTAGTTCCTCTCCCTCTTTGAAACCCTGCCTGTACTTCTGGTAGTTCTCGGTCCACATACTGCTGGAGCCTAGCTTGTAGGATTTTGAGCATAGCTTTGCTAGCATGTGAAATGAGTGCAATGGTGCGGTAGTTTGAACATTCTTTGGCATTGCCCTTCTTTGGGATGGGAATGTAAACTGACCTTTTCCAATCCTGTGGCCACTGTTGAGTTTTCCAAATTTGCTGGCATATTGAGTGTAGCACTTTTACTGCATCGTCTTGTAAGATTTTGAATAGCTCAGCTGGAATACTGTCACCTCCACTAGCTTTGTTGTTGCTCAGACTTCCTAAGGCCCATTTGACTTCACATTCCAGGATGTCTGGCTCGAGGTCAGTGGCCACCCCATTGTGGTTATCAGGGACGTTAAGCTTTTTCTTGTATAGTTCCTCTGTGTAATCTTGCCACCTCTTCTTAGTCTCTTCTGCCTCTGTTAGGTCCCTGCCATTTTGGTCCTTTATCATGCCCATCTTTGCATGAAATGTTCCCTTCATATCTCCAATTTTCTTGAAGAGATCTCTGGTCCTCCCTATTCTATTGTTTTCTTCTATTTCTTTGCACTGTTCATTTAAGAAGGCATTCTCTATATGAGGTTGCATTATTTCCACTATGCCAGATTGCTACCTAGAAGTTATATTGCACAACTGAAAGGCAGGAAAGGAAATGCTGCCAGCATACTACTGAAATATATACATTTTGCTATGAAACAGAAAGTAGATACAGCTGACTAACAGCTTTGTCTAGAAAAGCTTGAAGAGTTTTCCAGTAGTCAGTCACAATTATGTGAAATCCAGACATTTAGAATAAAAAGCTGAAAATGCAGGTTATGCCTTATCATGGCAATCAAAAGGGCATATTACCTGAAAATCTAACAACAAAAAAAGCTACTGTATGGGAAACTGGTGAATTTATAGTCAAGAAGCACTGACATTTTTGAATTAAAAAAGAAAAGATTAAAGGTGCAATCCAATGCAACTTTAGACTGAAATAAAAATCTGCCATCCCCAGCACACACAACTGGTTTGGCTGTATTGAGAGTTTTAAGCCTTTTTTCTGACTGAACTGTGCTCCAAGTTAGCAATTTTATGCACACTTACCTGAGATTAAGTCTCATAGAGTTTAATTGGAGTTACCTTTGAGTGGAAATGCATAGGCTTGCACTGTAAGCTTACAAAATAGCTTCCTACTGTGAACCAGGATGTTTCTTATTCAGACAATGATACGGTTCTTTTTTTCTCTTCCTTTCTCCTCTTGTCCTGTTTATGTTATTTCTTGGCCTAGCCAGTGGTTTCTCCCCTGTCTACATATATCAAGACTCTTCTGCTGAGGTATCATTCTGCTGTTTTGTGTCTGTGTGATGGGAGGTCCCCCTTGAGATTTTTCCTTTCAGATTGTTCCTAGCCCTGTTCCAGATTGTTCCTAGCCCTGCAAACTTTTTACCTTTCCCAAATCTGCTGAGATTTTCCTCTTGTGGTGATGCAATTTTGGCTGCATTTACATTGGCATAGAAAAGGGTAAATTGGTATTACAAAGAGTGATGGTGCTAGAACAATTTTGCTTGGAAATACAGTAGAACACCAGTCTTGGTGTACAGAAAGTAGAGAGTTTTGGTATTATTCTACAGTTTAGGCACAACTACATTTTTATAACAAGTACATATTCTCTGTTACTCATCCACAAAGTTGTTCAGTTCTGTCTCTGTCCCCAGGAAGCTTGTATTACTTGTTAGCAGACCTCACAAGACTTTTATTCTTGGGAAAGTCAACAATATATCTTCTGGTATTCCAAGACTGGTTGGAGCCACAGGTTATCAGTTGCTACAGATCTGCTCAATGCAATACTCATCATATTGACACATAGATCAAACCACCTCTAAAAGCTCTGATTTCATCTCATCATAGAGTTGCATACATTACGATAAGATGCAGAAGTATTTTGATGCAGAATGTTTTCAGGGACAATCCTGTGCAAGTTTAAACAGAAAGCCTGGACTCTCAGTGCACCCCAGCCAGGAATGCTGGCTTTGGTATGCTTGGAATTGTAGGCTGTTTTTCTGCCTAAACCTCCATAGGATTGCACTTTTAGTGTTGTAAGAAATCTCTAGCCTACAGCCCTGATGTGTGTGTCCATCAAATTCATGCCCCATCTTTGAACCTGATGTTCTGATGGAGTGTTTTAGATATAGGAGAGCAAGGTGTGAAATCAAATTAAATTATGACTATCCTCATATAAAGTCAGTGTCTCTTCATATCTAAACTTTCAGTCATCTTATCTATATATGTTGCAACCATGAAAGGCCTCTATTGCTACAACTGCATTATCTGTGGAGGAATTTGGATGGTTAAACATGCAATGCAAAGCTTTTCTTTGACAGGTATCTTTTTACTTTGTCTTTAAAGTGCTGGACTAGAATTGTTCCTAGTTAACTGCATGCTAGAAAAGATATTGTGGTGATATGTGTCTCTAAGGGTTTCCTTCAGTAAACCACTGTTCAGGTTCTCTGGGTGGTGCTTTTTACTAGATATGAGCAATAATTTCTCTGGACATTTGACTGCTACCTCCATGCTTCTCCTATCCTGCAGAAGACTTAGTTGTCCATTTTCAGCTGTCTACAATTTTTGTTCCAGCTCAT